GGTCACCATAAATCTGAAATGACTTGAAACATACAACAACAAAGATTCTGTATACATCAAATTCCAGTTCTAACTGCTGATATCACTAAGAGTAGACAGGTTAGTAAAGGTTGATGGCAGATGACGAACTGTGTTGGATTTTAGCACACTACTTTGAGGTCACATCCCTGCTGACTGAGGCTTTCTTAATATAAAGATGCTCGGGACTGAACCCGCACACATAACCATACAAGAACCAACATTAATAATGTTACCCCAACAATATCATGCTAAGAATCAATGCAAGTAGAACAGTCATGAGATTTTCTGTGGTGGCCTACGCAGCACTGGCACCAAGCTAGAGGACAGCAGGATATATACGTCATCTATTCCCATACAGCCATATATTACAGAATACAGTAAGCTGAACAGTTCTGTTTAAAGCATTTAAAGCATTTCTCTTGATCAGAAGCCAATATGTAGAATATTTAAAACAGCCTTATTCAACTTGTTGCCCTTAAAATGTTTTGGATTATAACACACATCACCCCCAACCAGCACAGTAGATGTTTAAGAGTGGTGGAAGTTACCATTGACTACCAAGGACACCCTAGACAATGAAGAAATAGAAATAGTAAAAGGATTCTCATACCTGGGATCAAACATTGATAGAAATGGGAACTGCAGTCAGGAAATCAGAAGATTAAGAATGGGTAGGGCAGCCATGAAAGAACTAGAAAAGATTCTAAAACGTAAAGGTATACAACTCAGTACAAAAGTTAGAATCATACAAACCATTGTATTCCCTGTTGCCATGTATGGTGTGAGAGCTGGACAGTTAAGAAAGAAGATAGGGAGAAAATAAATGGATTTGAATGTGTTGCTGGAGAAGAGTGGATAGCCAAAAAGACAAACAAATGGGTCCTAGAGCAGATCACACTGGAAACTTCCCTGGAAGCCAAGATGATCAAATTGAGTCCGTTGTACTTTGGACACATCATGAGAAGAGAGGACTCATTGGAAAATATAATAATTCTGGGAAAGGCTGAGAGAAATAGGAAGAGAGGAAGACCACATGCCAGATGGATGACTCTATTAAGGAGGTCACAGGTATGCAGGAATTAAGCAGAGCAATGGAGGACAGAGGGTTTTGGAGATGTTTCATCCATAAGGCCACCATGAGTCAAGATTCACTCCGAGAGCAGCTAACAAACCATTTCAGGAAGACTGATTTAAAATGGGGGGAAAAGACACTCCTTTAAGAGTTTCTGCTTCACTTCAATATACACTTTGAACGGACTTAACATCCTCAATGTACTGATAAATAACTTTGAAAGAGTAACTTCCTTAAGTTCAGTTACACCCCTATTATTACTTAATGAGGAGCAAGGTTATTTTACAGTATGCCAAAAAAAGTACCAAGCATATGTTAAAATTGAAACAGAACATGTTGACTTTAGACTGATGTTAATAGTAGCAATGGGATGGAATAGCATTACTACAGCCCTCTGCTCTGAGTGAGCCTATCCCCCTCCTTACTTTTAAAATTTATTACTACTTTCCCTCCCTATAATTTAGGAGGGAAAAATGTGCCTCTCTCAGTTGTTCCACTTGAGAATCTGGTGCTGGAAATTTAAAGCTTTTCAAAAAGTTATGGAACACTTTGTAGCTATTATGTCCAAGAAACCCTGTTGTGATGCATGAAATTTTCTAGACAATGGAAATTTATAATCTGTGACCATATAGGTGGGCAATATTGAGGTGGGTGGGTAAAATGTTTTAATTTGTTTACAGTTATAAAGCCTCTTCCTCCACTCTTCCATTGTAATCAATTTCTCACAAATTACTAATGAAATATTGAGGCCAAAGATGACTTAAAACCCTGTAATGTACCTGGCATAGAAATTTTAAATCGCAATTCTCCCTTATGGAGGTAACAATATATAAAAGCAATATATAAAAATACATTAAAAATTGAACGAGATGCCCATTTGGCACCCTTTTAAAAATATCTTCCCCAAACCTGCTGCCTGAAGTACTGTAGGTTATCTCGCCTCTATATCCATGGGATGGATATACCATGGACAGGGTGACCAGGTATCCTCCTTTTCCTGGACATGTCCTGCATTTCAACCTTCTGTCCAGGAGGAGTTTCAAAATGTCCTCCATTTTGAGCATGACTAAGAAGCATTAATTTATATTTCTAGGAGAGTTTTGAGCTCTGTATTTGGTCATGTCCTCCCTTTTTCTTGAATGTCCTCCATTTTGTGGTGTCTTATCTGCCTTTCAGTTAGGACATCTAGTCACTCTGACCATGGATGAAGGACAAGTGATTCATTTGTGCAATATTGAAACACTTTTAGAACCACATTAGAAGCAAGGTCCCTGTTCAATGAACTACAAGGGCTTCAGGTTATGTTGCTATGGATGCTTCCATCTGTGTATGTGTATGTACATGCAAGCATGCACACAGAAAGAGATTAATGCAAAGAGGAAGTAAAGCAACATTACAACAATCTCCATCACTCCTCCCACAGTTTATAACTTTTGTTTTTCTTTCAAATGTGAAGTGAGAAGTTGGTGGCTTATTAGGCAAGAGACCTCATTAAAAGAAAAGCCAAAAAACTTTACTTTTACTGTAGCATTTTCCTCTCATTTGCTTACAGTTTTAAAAGTTTTCAGTCAAGGGAATTAGCACCAGTTTGGGCTTTGATTTAGCCCTGATTTTACACCCAACTCAAGTTCTCTGCAAAGCCTTCTCCTTTCCTTTTAACAAGATAATCTTGCCTCTACTATCTCCTTGCAAGCTCCATCAAGGACAAAACAATCTAATCATTCATGCTTCATGGCAGGATGGGTGAAGAACATTAAGAAAAAGCATGATTGGAAATCTAAGTTGGCTTTATTCCTTTAACTAGGTTAAAGTTCATAAAAGGTAAAGCACACATGTCTGTCATCACTAGACTTTCTCTACTGTTGTTTTTTAAATGAAAACAGACAAAGAATTTTATTCACAATTCTAGAAGTACAGAAACTGAGGCAAAAAAGGAGGAGCTGACCCATACAATTCCTCTCATGAGAAGGGAGGACTCATTGGAAAATATAATAATTCTGGGAAAGGTTGAGGGAATGTATATAAATAAAAAATGTATTTATTTTTGGCACCCAGCAAAGAAGGGAGTGTGGAGTATCACTGATATATATACACAGGTGTGTGTGCCTTAATTGTGAGGACTTGTATGGGTCAGCAATGGGTCTCCTCACTTTTTGCCTCCGTTTCTGTACTTCTAGAAATGTGAATAAAATTATCCAGCTGTTTTCATTTTTTTAAAAAAGCAAAGAAAGTGTTTCAATCTAATGATAACAGAATATATATATATAGGTTTTAACATGAGGAGGGAAACAATGCCACAAAATGTATTCATTTTTGGCACCCAGCAAAGATGGGAGTGTTGAATTACTGGTGTATATGTATATATATATATATATTATCCAGAATAGGGCTCCAAAAGGATTCACAGCTACAATCTTCAAATCCTGGCTCAGTCATGGAACCCCACTGGGTGACCTTTGACAAGTCATAGTCTCTCAGCCTCAGAGCTTAGCAAGGGTAAAAAACCCCTCTGAGGAAATCTTGCCAAGAAAACCCCATGATAGGTTTGCCTTAGGGTTGCCATAAGTCGAAAGACTTGAAAGCACACAATGAATTTGCACTGTTTTTTTAAAAAAATTAATACAACGACCAGCCTCCCCCTCTCCCAATTTAAGTATTCTTCATTTCAAGTCTCTCCTGCCATTATGCACTGACCAAAAAGCAACACTAGGAATACTACCTGGGCAGTTTGGTTGTTGTTTGTGCCTTCAAGTCGTTTCTGAATTAATGGCGAAACTAAGCTGACCCTATCATGGGGTTTTCTCCCCAAGATTTGGTCAGAGGAGGTTCACCATTGCCTTCCCCTGAGGCTGAGAGAGTGTGACTTGCCCAAGATCACCCAGTGGGCTTCATGGTCAAGCTGGGAATTGAACCCGGGTCTTCAGAAGAGTTGTTGTCCAGCACTACAACTACTATGCCACACTGCCATTTAACTTTTTTAGGCTGAGAATATGTGACTTGGGCTAGGCAGTCGAAAAATTGAGATGAACCCCAGTAGTTACAACTCCGACAGAAACAGTAACTCCTAAACTACAGAAATGCCTACAGGAGTTATAACTGCTATAGAAACAGTAACTCGTTCAGAAACAGTAACTTTTACCAAAACAGTAACTCCTACACTAGTTATAACTCCTACAGAAACAGTAACTCCTCTAGTAACAGAAACTCCTACAGAAATACCTACAGTAGTTATTTACAGAAACAGTAACTCCTACAGTAGCAATAACTCCACAGAAATTCCTACAGTAGTTATAAGTCCTACAGTAACTCCTACAGAAACCCCTACAGTTGTTATCTACAGAAACAGTAACT